ATCCTCGGGTGAGGATTTAAAAAAAAAAAAGAATCACATTCTTTGCTCAGGTGTTGTCCCTGCCATTAGATCAACCTCCAGTGGCTCTCCACGACCTACACCAGCACACAAACCAAACTCCTCAGCCAGGTACATATTTGGGGCCTGCCTCCTCTCTCGCATCTCATTTCCTCCACCCCACCCATGAACCTCTTGAGCAAGGCTGCAAATCATGACTGACCATGCTCACTCAGAGGCAGCTCAGTGATTTTCAGAGGCTCCAGGGTCCACACTTGACCCCTATGTGACTGCCGCGAGTTGCCCAGTGGCTGGGATGGGCTGTGCTCTGGCTGTCTGCGTTGTAGCCCACACAGCACACTCACTGCCCTGTGAGGCTGCCTGCCGCCAGAGCCCTCTTGGTGAGCATATGTTTCCCTCGGTCTCCTTGGCCTCTGGTCACAGGTGGTCAGGCCCCAAATGGAGAGGTTGTCCCAACCCACAGAGCCTGCCTCCCTCCTTGAACTGTCACACTGCTGTGTCCCACCCATCAGGTTACACTCTATTCTACCCTGCCCAAGCCCTATCTGACGCTGTAACTCCCTCTGGGCCCAAGGTCCTCGCTGCCTGGTGGTCTCCAGAGGCCCTGTCTCCACCTCCCTCAGCGGCTGTCAGAGTCCATCCTGTCACCTTAGAGGCCAATCTCGTTAAGATGTCAGTTCTTACCAAATTGACCCACGGACTGTACGCAATCTCAATTAAAAACTCAGTGAGCATTTTTTTTCTCTGTAGAAATGGATGAGCTAATTCTAAAATACATACAGAAATGTAAAGGATATGGAATAGCAAAAACAATATTTATAAGAAAAAACAGAGTTGGAATATTTAATTGATCTGATTTTAAGACTTATTGTAAAGCTACAGTAATCAAGCTAGTGAGGTATTGCTGTTTAGATAGACAGACAGATCCATGGAACCAAACAGAGCATCCAGAAATAGGTGCATTTATAAAGTCAACTGGAGAAATGGTAATGGAACAACTGGACACCAATAAGCAAAAAACTGAACTTTACTCCACACTTTATACCATACACCAAAAACAAAACAAAACAAAACCTCAAAATGGGCCAGAGACTTAAATGTAAATCTTAAACTATAAAACTTGTAGGAGAAAACCTTGTGACCATTAGGCATAGATTTCTTAGGCACAAGATCAAAAGTATGATCCATACATTTTTAAAAACTCGATTTCATCAAAAATTAAAATCTTCTGCTCTTCAAAAGGTATTCTTAAGAGAATGAAAAGATGAGCCACACACTGAAAGAAAATATTAGAAAGCATATATCTAATAAAGGTCTTGTATCTAGGATACACACAAAAAAACCCCTCTCAAAACGCACTGATAAGAAAACAATGAGCAAAAGATTTAAACAGACACCACCAAAGACGATATATAGATGGCAAAGAAGCACACGAAAAGATGCTCAGCCATTAGTCACTAGGAAAAAGCAAATTAAAACCCCAATGAAAAACCGCTGCGCACCTATTAGAAAGCTTAAAGTTGAAAAGACTGACAATTCCAAGTGGTTGGTGAGGATGTGGAGCAAGTGAAACTCCCATAAACTGCTGTGATAATATAAGAAAGTAATTTAGCAATTTCTTAGAAAGCTAAACATGCACCTGCCACATGGCCTAACCATTATACTCTAAGTATTTACCCAAGAGAAATGAAAACATATTACAAGATTTGTACTTGAATTTTCATAGCAGCATTATTCAAAATAGCACGCCCACCTCTCCCACAGTGGAAACAAACCAAATGTTCATTAACAGGTAAATGGATAAAGAAATTGGGGTATATCCAAACAAGGGTATACTACACAGTAATGAAAAGTAATGCACTATTTTTACACTAAGCAACATGAATGAATCTCAAAAGAAGTATGCTGAGTGAGAGAAACTGGACTAAAAAAGTACATGTTATATGATTCTCTTTATGGAATTCTAGAAAATTGAAAAGAATCTACAGTGATAGAAAGATCTGTGATCGCTTGAAAAGCAGTGGTAGCTCGGGGGTGGGGGGCAGGAAAGGTAATAAAAAAGAAGCATGGGGAAACTTTTTGGGGTGATGTGTTCATTTTCTTGTGTTCATGCTTTCAGAGGTTTGTACATATGTCAAAACTTATCGAACTGTATACTTCCAATATGTGCAGCTTATTACATTATACCTCAATAAAGCTGTTTTAAAAATAGTAGTTTAAGGCCTCTGACCAGAAACTTTAATAAGCTAATATGTATATTCCTAAACATTAACTCTCACTATTCTAATTCCACGGTTTTAGGGTAGGACCCAGAAATCTGCATTTGTAACAAACCCTTCAAGTAATTCTAATGCAGGTTGACCTTAAACCTCCCTCGGTGAAACATTGGTCTAGGGAGTAATGATTTCTGGAACAATCTCGTGACTAGAATGTTGTTTCTTTTTCTACTAGGGGTGTTATAACTTTCTGTTTTATGCCTCTAGCACTCATGCTCAATTACCATAACATATATTTAGTATATAGTATTAATAGTTCAAAAACAAATTAAGTCATAGTTTTCCCCATCTTATACTTAAATAAATTAGATCAATTATATACTCTTGTTACTATTTCCTAGCAGAGGCCTATAATTAAAAAATTTTTTTTTTCTTTATCTATTTTAGAGAGAGAGGAAGGGAGAGGGAGAGAGAGGTAGAAACATCGATGAGAGAGAACATTAATTGGCCGCCCCTGCATGCCCCCCACTAGAGATCAGGCCCACAACCTGGGTATGTGCCCCAACCAGGAATCAAACCAGCAACCTCTTGGTTCATGGGTAAACGCTCAACCACTGAGCCACACTGGCTGGGCTAGAGGCCTACAATTTCAATAAAAAATTGTGTCACTTGGCTATTGTGACAGAAAACTGATGCGGTTTTCCAATCACACTTTTTAATTTATCTTTTTCCATATGATTCACATTCACCCTTGCATCCTTCTGATCACATGAAGATCAAAGAAGACACAGAAAAATGTGAGCCCTGGCCGGTTTGGTTCAGCAGTTAGAGCATTGGCCTGCGGTCCAGAGAGACCCGGGTTTGGTTCCCGCTAAGGGAACGCACCTTGGTTGCGGTTTGTCCCCGGCCCCAGTTGGGGTGGTGTGGGTGGCGGCCAGTTGATGTATCTCTCTCATGTCGATGTTTCTCCCTCTCTCTTCCCCCCTCTCTCCCTCTTGCTCTAACCAAAGATGAATGCAAAAATGTCCTTGGGTGAGGATAAAAAAAAGAAGACACAGAAAAATATGAAATGGTTGCATTCCTGCTAAGTCTCTGAAGACAAAGCTTATCTATTCATATTTATATAAATTTTCTTACCAAGCACAAAAAATGTTGCCAGTATGAATGATAGGAAATAGATTTTCCACGAGACTAGCATTTCTTAACCCTAGAAACATTATCTGAAGGAAATATTAGAACTTAGTTGATGAAGCTTATGGATTTTCCTACAAAACATTCCTGCTGTTATGAGGGTCAATTGAAAAAAAAAAAAAGTGATAGGGCAAAACCTACTTACTCAAAGATGATTTTTAATTATTAAAAGGAGTACAGCAAGTGATATCTGTGAAAATGATGCTGAAAAAAAAAATCCCTCCAAGAATTCCCCAGGAAAACATGGAAAAAAACTAACAAAAGTAGCAAGAAACAATATTTTCAGAACACTGGACATTAAACAAAGGCTTGCAGCATTCAGGACAGCATTTATGTAAGAAAAATGGGTGAATCTCAGTAGGAACAGCAAGCTGTGTTTGCTTCAGTTGCCCTGTTCCCATCCTGCCCCTCCCTTGTGGGGATTGCTTTGGAAACCAACAGCCTTCGGGCAGGGTGAAACCTAGCAATCTGGCAGCCACGGACTGGGCAGAACAGGACTGGAGCTCCTTCAACATCTCATTCCCAGAGAACCATACTTATTTTTCACTTGTCTGGGGGTTCCATGTTATACCCTACTTGCAAACATGTCTTTATTAGATCTGATTCAAAGCTCACCTAGTGTGAAAAGCCTTTGCCCCAAGGGCATTTGTAGCAAATGAGTGGAAGCAATTGTTGGTTAACTTCCTCAGAAAATTAACACAGAGCTACCATATGGCTCAGCATATATATCCCAGAGAACTGATAACACAGAATCACCCCAAAACTTGTACACAGGTCTCCACAGCAGCATTATTCACAATATCCAAAAAGTGAAAACAACTCACGTAGCCATCAACAGGTGAATGGATAAACAAATATGGTATTTCCACTGTTATCTCCCTATGAAAAGAAGTACTTTGAAGTACTTATTCATGCTACAAAATGGATGAAGACGGAAAAACACAGGTAGAGTAAAACTAGACAGAAAGTGCCACATTTTATATGATCCCATGTATATCAAATGTCCAGAATAAGAACATACATAGAGACAGAAGGTACATCAGTGGTTGCTGGAGGCTGGGGGGAGGTAGAAGATCAGGAATGATTGTTAATGGTACAAGGTTTTATTGGGAGGAGGGGTAATGAAAATATTCTGGAATTTTTCACATGGTGACGGTTGGACAACCTCATGACTAGACTAAAATCCAATGAACTGTACACTTTAAGAGAGTGAATTTTATGTTACGTTAATTGTATTTCAACTTAAAAAAAAAGTTGTACAACTTCTGAAAGAGGCTTTGGTCATTTAAATTTCCATTAACATTTGCTTGGGTGTCTTCAGGATACTGAAATAAGAAAGTTGATCTTAGCAATCAGGTATGTGGGAGGAACACAACTGAAAGGGCCACACCCACACACAACCACAAAACCCACCCAGTCTAAAGCTAGCACGAGCATTCCAGGTACCATACAAATGTGGCCACAGTTATTTTCCTGGCAAACCATTTTCTTTAACAATAGCCCTAACCTACATACCTACCACAAAGTTGGACACAGTATAACTCTCCAGACTAAAGTCAGCAGGGGTAACCATACCTTTATTATTGTTTTGTTGTTCCATCAATAATTTACTTATTTCCGAAAACCAACAATCTCTGATTTCTTTGGAAGCTGCCTGCAATTACAGATAAGAAAATACTATGAGTATCAGATCATCTGGAGTATTGGTTGCACAGGGTTTTTATTTTCTGGGTGACCGTTAGAATAATGAGACAGAAAACACTTGTTAAGTCATGGGAACACCTGTGGGGAAGACATGCGCTTTACCTGCAGGATGTATTTCTCAAGTCCGTTGCGGTTGGCAATTTCAAATTTTCTGTTGCTCCCTCTTTCAAGTTGGTGAATTGAGAGTGTCATCAACTGTTGTAAAGAGAAGAAAAGTTTCTATATCATCACTTTCTGATTTCAAAATTGTCACTGTCAGCTACCCTAATCCTTTCTACACCTGATGTCTCTCCTCTCCCATCTTCCTTCCAAGTGTTTTGCTGTCTTCTCTTAATGGCCCCAAGGAGCATAAAACACAATGTGGCACAGTCTCGTCTGTTTCAGAGGATAACAGACTATATCTTTCCACATGTAGAGCTGTAGCATGCAACCTTCTGGCAAAGAGATCATCTCTCTCTCCTTTAACACAAGCTCTAATCACCAACCCTCACTGCTCTGCCTGAAGGAAAGAGGGTACTTTTTAAATTAGTTTGTCCAGACAGATTGCTATGCCTTCCCTTTTCTCTGCTTAGCACAGAATCACCTCTATTCCAGCCCTGGCCCTGTCTAGTGATTGCTTACAAGCCCTGGCTCTGGAATCAGACCTGGGTGTAGATTCTGGCTCTGTTGTATGGCATTTGGCAAGTTAATCTCACCTCTCTAAGCTGCAGTTTCCTGTCTGCAAAATAAGGATAACTGTATTTCTCTCCATAGGGTGTGCTGACTCCCAGGTGCAATAAGACCCCTTTACCTTGATTGACTTCTTAAAGCTGTAATGAGGAGATAGGCCCTGGTCACTGGGCTCCATTCGTATCTTACAGAACACTATTCCCCTTTCAAATAGATAGATTTGCCTCTGGCTGGGCTTAAATCGAATAAAATCCTTCATTTTATAACGCTCCTTGTGCACCGTCCACACGCTGAAGGAGCCGCGCATCAACAGCTTGCCCAGTTCTCGGATGTCGTCCTTTCAGAATCACAGACACACAAAACAAGGCTGTTAAGTTCCTCGACAGGGCAAGAACTCTTGGGAGTCTGTTTTTCAAAGGATAAAGCATGCTTATTCGAAGTTTACAATCTTAGACGTGCCACTCAGGCTAATCTATCCCTAAATCAAAACTACGGTTTTGTAAGCTTCACTGAGCATGATGACACCATTCAGTTATATCAGGAAGTAGCTCAGCAGTGCAAGGTAATGAACATACAGCAGGTTGGAAATACTGGGACTAAAAAAAATCAGGACTCTAATTTTTTTGTCTTGTAGTTAATTTTAGCTAGCAGAATGCCATTCCCTCTTCTTTGTTCCTGATACATGACACCACTTAAAAAAGGCAAGAAATTAACATTCGAATTATACTCAGGAGAGACAGAATTTTGCTGCCTCGGGGATCTCTGATAATCCACATGCTCCATCTGGGTCCTAACACCTGCTTCGTGTCTATGAGAACCTGAGACCATGAGGTTTGTTCTGAAAGGAGAAATCTTAATATGACCAAATCTTCGTAACACTGTAATGGAAACGGTAACATCAATCCTGCGTTTGTCAGAGTAAGTGAGCCGTGTAAACATAATCTCAACAGACAAAATTATTGTTAAAAAGTCTACTTGGCTCTAGGGCACGCACCATGATGCCTCTCTCTCCACCAGCAAGCCCACTTTCTTCGCTGGAAGTCCACAGTCCAAGGGAGGTGTCCCTGCCTCCTCTGAGTTCTCTCTAGTGGCGTGATAATAGCTAGTAATGTGGTACTTTTCAAACTGTCCATCACTTAGAGCAGATCATCGAGAATGTATTCCCTTGCATCGAAATACCAAAAGGAAACATTATTTGAACAGGACCAGGACAGAGAAATTTCCCTCAGTTCCATGTAGCTGAGATAAATCCCTATAATTTCTGATGTCTAATACCATAAATATATACATTATGTATAATTGATTAGGCATTTTTATAATTTATTGTTTATCCTGAACAAAGTGTGAATAACTTCTTTTTAAAACATTGACTGTACGTCTGAAATTCTGAAATAAAAACCACGAGCAATACACTTGAATCATTTCCATAGTGTCTGTGGCATATCTTCTGTGCTAATTTTATTTTTTTGCCTTGCAAAATTTGCATGTGTAAACTCATGGAGGAATAAAGAGCCCAGCTCTAAGGCCTTCTTTCCTAAAAGCACACGGATCCTGTTCTAGGTTGCTTGGGCTGGATCCACATCCTTCAAGGAGCCATGCAAATGTAACCACTCCAGCCCTCGGTGACTGCTTCTCCTTGAAACCCACCCAATGTGCACGATGTAGACATAAATACTATAGGAGATATGTTTTAGTCAAGGCAACTGGCCAAAGTACATGCTTAATATTTTCTAGATGAACAACTATAATCAATAGTTTCTATTGTCAAATGTATTTATACTCCACCTCATTTCAAAAATTTGATACATCTTCTAAAATATATATATCATGGGCAGACAGAAAATAACTGAGGAAATTAGGGTAAAAGAAACATGAAAAGGTTGCACATCGACCCACGCAATAAAGCCATGTACACTTGCTGCAGACTAAGCTCTGGCCTCCTAGTCGGCAGCACAGGGAGCTGTAGGAATCACTGTGTCTGAAGACCTACCCAAACCAGTTGTTCAGGAAAAGCATGGATTCCTGTTAATGAGACGTGAGAGACATTTCTCCCATGGGTCCTAATACAGGGTCACCAAGTTAATCCTGAGCATATCCTCAAACACATCCCAGAATAGACAGATGGTTGGAATTAGGTAAAGCTGTTTCTAAGAACACATTCGGTGAATGTGGAGCATCACTTCATAGGCACAGCCGTAAAAGCAATTCTAAAAGAGGCCAGAACAATGGGGGTGTGAAGAATAAGTCCAGGTGTTCACTCTCTAATGACCTGTAGAGGGCTGGACCGCGTTAGTTAAGATGTCTGCCAAGGCCGTGGCCACAGAGGAAAGAGCCCTGCTGAAGAAGCAACCATGGACACCTCTGGATGGTTCACCTCTGCACGTTCCTCCTCACCCCACCTGCAGCCACAGCTGTTTGCATCTTGGGAAGCATCTAACCAAGGGATGACACATTAGTGAGGTGCCAGCCCCTGCCCACAGAAGCCTGGTGTGAATAAGATGCCAGACGGCTAATCTGATCTTGTCTCCACCGAGGAGAACTGAGGAGAAGGCAGTAAGCAGCAGGGGTTGTAACTGTGAAACGCTTTATCAGAGGGTAGGTGAGGGAATGAACGATAAGGAAGCAGAGCGTGAAGATGAGTCACCAGAAAATATGAGGAAGAGGAAAAGACATGGACAGAACAAGTCAGTAGGTGGTGGGAGGAGAGGCAGAGCACACAGCTGAGAACTCAGCTCCCTCCCAGGCCAAGGCCCCAGAGCTGAGGGGGATCCTGGGACTGTCCAGTTCCCACCTCTGTGAGCTCGCTCTGCCACTGTCCTGACTCTTCCCAAAGTTCTGTGGTTGACTTTTCCAGTAAGACTGTCATTACTGGAGGTCACTGGAGACAATCGCTGGGTATCAGTCCAGCTGAAAGAGATGAGCTGTACATCCTCCAGGTTGTCTTCATGAACTTCCTCAGAACCATGCTCCAGATAGGATTAAACAGCCAGGATGCATGTGTGTGTGCAGTGTACCCACTGCCAAGGGGAAGCAGGCAAGGGGATTCCTCAGAGAGGACCAAGGATGGCCCAGGCCTTCTTTTCAACCAAGTATATCCTTTCTTTCCAATTACACTGTAGCTTGTCCCAAAGCCAGAGGCCACATGCACAACCTCATGCAGATATTTGTCTCTTGGAAAGTATTTATTCATTTACTGCCATTTAGTGAGTACCTGGGGGGACATGAAGCTAAGTGTTCAGCACTATGAGGGAGTTAATGCAGTGATGCCCCTAGACTGGGCTGAATAGCATCTCCCACAAAACTCAGGTCCACCTAGGACTTCAGACTGTGACCTCATTGGAAATAAGATCTCAGATGTAATTAGTTAAAATGAGGTCATACTGGATTGGGGTGGGCCCTAGCCTAAAGGCTGGTGTCCTTACGAGAAGAAGGAAGAGAGATACACACCAATAGAAGACAGTCATGTGAAGACAGGGACAGAAATTGGAGTGATGTAGTTGTCAGCCAAGGAACGCCAAGCTTTGCCAGAAACTATCAGAAGCCGGGAGAGGAACAGGAGGACGGGCCTTCAGAGGAAGCATGGTTGTGCCAACACCTTGATTTTAGAATCCAAGCTTCCAGCGCTGTGAAAAATACTATCTGTGGTTTTAAGCCACCCAGTCTATGGTGTGTTGTTATGGCAGCTCCATGAAATAAATATACCTCCAACTAGTTTCTCCACCAATGACATATGGTGTGACCCTCACTTTGGCCTGTTGAAGACTCTAATACATGTGAGCTCAGAGATAGACTAGGAGCTACCACCAAACAAATGAGTAAGTGAAAAGTTCTCTTCCACATGGAAAGTGATGGCAAAAATAAACTAGTAGGTGCTACCATTTTCACATGTGGAGCTAAGAGCTCTGATATGAGAATTTTAAATGTGACCACGTGGGCCAAAGGAAGAATCTGGCTGAGAGAGAATCTAGGGAAGCTAGCCTCCAGAAAGGGACGTCTTTTGGGTGAGCAGGTTTTCATTCCTGGCTGCGACAGCTACTGTGGCAGAGCTGTATACTTCTTGCACAAGGAAGCAGGAAACATCTGGATAAACGAATCAGCACAAAGCCTGGTCCAGAAATAAAAAGCAGACCAGAGACAGAGGAGCCGAGGTCACAATCACCAGAGCAAAGGGGTTCCTTCCTTCCCAGTCTGATCAAGTACCCAAATAAGTCAGCCCTGGGCTGTATTCAGCACCTACCAGGTATCATGCAAGGTGCTAGGGGCTTTAAATATGATTTAGTCTTTAGTTACTCTACTTAGAGGTGTGGTGAGTGTGGGAAGACGGGCAAGACAGTTCCACTGTCATTAAAATTGTTTATTCAGCCTTATCTTTATAGCCAACACTATGGTAAAGTGGAGAGTAAAATAAAAATAAAATATCTGGTCCTAGTCCACAATAAACTTGCAATAAAAATACTTCCTTTAATACATTACATAAATTTGTTCCAAAAAAATGAGTAAATTAAATGAAAAATTAAAATGTTTCATTCAACCTTTCCCATTCAACTTTGGAACTTATTCCTGGCAAGTCAGGATTTAAAAGGACTCTAAATGTAGCTCTATTTTATACTGTGGATTGAAGAGAGGGGAAATGTTTTTGTTTGTTTTTTCACAGATGGAGGGAAGTAAATCAAATCTCACTATTTCATAAAACAACCTTTCTTTTTTTCTTTTTATCCTCATCCGAGAACATTTTTGCATTTATCTGCAGATAGAGCAGGAGGGAGAGAGGGAGGAAGAAAGAGAGTGAAACATCACCGTGAGAGAGACACATCAACTGGTTGCCACCCACACAACCCTAGCTGGGGCCGGGGACAAACTGCAACCAAGGTACATGCCCTTAGCGGGAACCGAACCTGGGCCTCTCTGGTCCACCGGCCGACGCTCTAACCGCTGAGCCAAACTGACCAGGGCAAAACCACCTTTCTTTTAAAAATATTTTTAAAGTCCTGCCTGTGTGGTTCAGTGGTTGAGCGTCGACACATACACCAAGAGGTTGCCAGTTTGATTCCTGGTGAGGGCACATGCCCAGGCTGTGGGCCCAATCCCCAGTGGGGGACATGCAGGAGGCAGCCAACTGATGTTCTCGCTCATCGATGTTTTTATCTCTCTCTCCCTCTGATTTCTTCTCTCTCTAAAATCAATAACTAAAAAAATTTTTTTAATATATATTTTTAAAGTTTTTGTGATTAAATTAAGCCAAGAGCTGAGAATATACAAAGAGAAAATGTAAATATCAGAAGAAAATTTTTTTCTACGTGTCTCAGCTATAAATTTATCCACTCAAGTTTCATTTCTTTCCTTGACAAAACCAGTCTAAAGTTGGATGTCAAGTGGAGAAACTAAGAAATTAAGCCAGATGTATCCACACATACAACATATGATGGTAAACACCTCGTGATTAAGTTCTACACTGCGGAGGCACAGACGCTCAGGATTGTTACATCTGAGTTAGTAGTAGTTGAATTGCTAGTCAACTCGAATCAGATGAAGAATGTGCAGAAAGGACGGCACCCTGGCAAGGGAGTGAAGAGATGCAAGAAGCAGAGCAGCTGATGACCATTTGATCCTGGATGAGTTATTGCTTCTTTCCATGGATCTATTGCTGAAGCAGAAAGTTGAAAATTCCAATGCCTGCTCCTCTATAATTCAACAGAATTATACAAAACGGTCAAGATAAATGAGCTAATGCATGAGATGTATGTCAAAGATGCTGTCCTGAGGACACATGGGGAAAAGAAGAATTTTTTGCACTTGTTATGAAATCTATAAACTGGTTTATCTGATTGGCACACCAGCTGTTTGAAATATAATTAGCATAGATTGCTATTTACTCATGTTTTAATCATTATTTTCTCATAACTTCTTCCTCCTATGTTACTTTACACTCAGAGTAATAGCTGGGAGTTTCCTGCCCTGTGTAACATTGATTTAATTTGATTCAGGTAAATGAATATCGAACAGGGGTAGTTGACATCTTCACAGATAAAAGAAGAGAACAGAAAGATGTACCAAAATGATTAAACAAATTGCTTCCTTGACTTTCTTTAACCGAAGAAAGAAGAATTATTACTAAGGAAATGGTCTCCTCTCACACCCCGTGTGGTTCATGAATACCCTCTTGAATCATGCATCAGTAGTAAACAGAGAGTGCTCTGGAGTCTCAGGGGACAGTAACAGCATCACTACCCAGATCACAGCAAACCCAGTGGGGCTGTTTCCGAGAAACTGGCCAGAGAAATACCAGAAGGGAGGGAACTAAAAAGATCCCAATGTTTGCCCCTAATTAATCTGCATGGTTTGATTTATGACAAGGAAAGATAAGAAAGGTAATTTCATCTGACAGACCTCAATAAACATCTGTTAAATCCAGGTAAAAATAAAAAGGGAAAAAAGAGAAGGAACATGTCCGAGATGTTCTCAGAATGCTTGATCCCCGTATGGTAAGCGGAGTAAGAGCCTCCCAAAGAGGTCTAGGCCCTAATCACTGGAATCAGAGAGTATGTCTGGCTACATGCTGGATGGTTTCAGGTGGAATCAAAGTTGTTCAGCAGCTCACTTTGAGATGGGGAGATTTTCGTGCACGATCTGGGTGGGTCCAATGTAATCACAAGAGTCCTTAACAAGTAGAAGAGAAGCAGAAGAAACGGTCATAGGGATGCGATCAATGAGAGAACTCAATGCACTGTTGCTGGCTTTGAAGTGAAGGCAGTGGCCATGAGCCAAGAAATGTGGGTGTTTTTGTTTTTGTTTTTTAAGATGGAAAAGACAAGGAACAGATTCTCTCCAAGAGCCTACGAAAAGGAAGGCAGACACTTTGATTCTAGTCCCTGGTGAGACTGTGTTGTATTTCTGCCCCATGGAACTGTAAGATACTCAATTTGTGCTGTTCTAAGCCACCAAGCTCGTGATGATGTGTTATGACAATGGTAGAAAACTAACATACTTGAGTTAAAATCTAGAGTACTTCACAGTGAAATCACTGAATATTACTCATGTTCCAGCCCCAAGGCAGTCACAGTTACAGAGGATGGTTTTCCTGGAAGGCCCAGGACTCGCCTGCTCAGGACAAACACTAGTATTAGAGTTGAGGTGGCCCAACTCCCCAGCAATGCCTCTCTTGGTATTTTCTTTCAACCATTTGTGTGAAGGGGTGTAAAATACATGCTTGTCGGGCCTCTTCTGGGATCTGTGATGTAAAATGGGCTGAGACTTTCACTTCGGATCCATTTTCAAAGTAATCTTCATGGAAAACATCTGAGTCAAGAAGGACAATCTTTTAATATTTTAATAGTGCCATAAATCAAAATAAATTAATCTCGCTCGAGGACATTTTTCTATTTTTTGTTCAGAGTGGGAGGGAAAGAGAGGAAAAGAGAGAGAGAGAGAGAGAGAGAGAGAGAGAGAGAAACATCGATGTGAAAGGGACACATTGAGTGACTGCCACCCAAATGACCCAACAGGGGCCAGGGACAAACTGCAACCAAGGTACGTGCCCTTATCGGGAACCAAACCCGGGTCTCTCTGGACCGCAGGCCGACGCTCTAACCGCTCAGCAAAACCAGCCAGGGCTAAATTAATCTTTTAGCACTCTCCCCTGTTCATATATATTCTGACTCCTAAGTTCCTGTTTTTTCATAAATCATTTCTCCAATTTTGCCAGAGCATCTCCTACCTTTGTTATACTGTGTCTGCCTCTCATGTGAAACCTTCCAACAATTGTTATGGAGCATAACATACCGGACACCCAGTGACTGCTGCCAGGTCCACAGCCAACTCACAGGACTTGATCAACTCCTCCATCACGGCTAAAGCCTGTTGCAGTTCAGCCAAGAATGTGGAATCCTTGGTCCTCATTGGCCCAATCTGTAGAAACCAAATACCTTGTAGGAAATGAAAAGGTAAACCATCTACCAAGTGAAGAAAGAAAACAGGACAGAAATAAGGAGCCACAAATCCACCCAGCACAAAGTGCTGATACTGTTATAATCTGGTTATTTTAACAGGAAAGGAGTAAAGGGAAGACCAGATAATATAGGCATGGCATGTATACAGCTTTGTCAGAAAGCTGCAAGTTAACACTCTCCAGGTCTATTCCCACAAACTGATGGCAGAAGGGACTAGACAAAGGCAGTTTAGATGCATACCCAGTAAGGTGTGGGTGATGTGGGAAGGTGCTTACCTGTCAGTCACACCTAGGAACAAGTCAGTGGCCAGAATAGACATGGCCACTGCAGTAAACTCCTAAACAGAGAAAGCTCTCTCTCTCTCTCTTGCTGCTGGAGTCTGACTCCTGGCTTGTGGGACCCTCATGCTCTGCATCTGCCCATGTGGCTCATGGCCATGTGGGCTCCACACAATGGATTAATGGACTATGATGCTACATCAGACTCAGCTTCGCCATGAAACAGAAGCTTTGGACAATGGCCCTGCTTCTAGCTTTGTTAAACTCCCAGCTACCCCTGACCCAGGACTGGACTAAGGGAACTGGGACTTTAGAACCCAAGGAATGTAACTCCATGAAAATAAAGTTTTTTTTAATTTTTATTTTTATCCTCACCTGAGGACATTTTTGCATTCCTCTTCAGATAGAGAGGGAGGAAGAGAGAGAGAGAAACATCGATGTGAGAGAGACACATTGACTGGTTGCCACCCACATGACCCCAGTTGGGGCCGGGGACAAACTGCAACCAAGGTATGTGCCCTTAGCGGGAACCGAACCCAGGTCTCTCTGGTCTGTGGGCCGACACTCCAACTGCTGAGCCAAACCGGCCAGGGCAAAAATAAAGTCTTTTACCACACCTCATTCTCCCATGGAGGCCTCTGGAAATGCTTACTCCAGTGGTGCTCCAAGAGCCCCACTCCCACTAGTAATGGAGAAATTGGACCCACTCACACTGTTTCTCCTGCAACAGTATCTGAGAAGATGGGTACACTGATCTGTTTCCCTGCCCCCAAAGAATGGTGAAACGTAAAGATACTTGCTAGTTTATCATCAACCACACTTCTGTAGATTGTACTAATGAAGAATGAAGTTCATAAAACCATGGGCATTTTATTCCTGATCTATAAGAAACATGAACTTTTTTGAAGCATGAAAAAAAAAAAAAACCACAACAAAAAAAACCCCAGCCCCTTTAAATTAACTGCCCTCTCTTTTATACCCCTACCCCCGGGGCCTAAGGAAAAGTACAATCTGAGTATCGTATTCCTATATTTAATGTAAAAGTTTTATTCCTATGGGGATCAGCATTGTTTGGATAAGAGAGATGAGTGACAGGGCTGATGAATGGAGCAGAGCAAGCTGCCTCCACTGAACAATTTGCCACGGATTCTTACCTTCTCCCGCATAATAAATATGCTCTAGTCCTGGTGAAAGAAAGCAGACTCTCACCAGACTGTAAGGAACATCATCGGTATGGGATTAAAACTTCTTACACTAGGTATCTTCCTCTTTACCCAACACTTAAAACTCAATATCTTTTTAAAGCTCAACTGCTCCTGTTCTTTCTCCTCCTAGTTTTACATAGGCAATGTAGGGCTCAGAAAATGCCTTACAAACATTACTAAGGCCCTCTAACTCAGGCTAGGTCCCCTTGCTCCAGACTAAAATCACTACCTGTGTCTTCAGCTTCTAATTTCAAGAGGTACCCACCACACATTCTGAGCAGAGAAGGCATGCAAATGACTGCTAATATTGAGACACATGTCTCAGGTTTCTCTTGTTAAAACCAGAACGTTTAATAGGAAATTTAAAAGAAACCCTACTGCTAAGCCACAAATTTTTTCCTAACCTGGTTAGCCACCATTTCCTTTAAGGGAACTTTGGCTGTCTCTCTTAGAATTTACACAAACATGGGCACACACCCACACTTTACTAGGGAAACAGGACATAATGTATACAAATTAGATAAAGAAGGAAATAAATATAAACCATTCATAATCCTACCATGCAGGAAAACCACAGTAGCGATTTTACTATATTTATTTTCAGTCTTTTATGTATGCATTTTGCACATTCCTGTTTGTATTATTGTTAAAACATTTTTGTGTGCCTGGTGGGTGTGACTCAGTGGGTGAGCACTGACCCATGCACCAAGGGGTTGCCAGTTCGATTCCTGGTCAGGGCATATGCCCAGGTTGTGGGCCAAATCCCCAGTGGGGGGCATGCAGGAGGCGGCCAATCGATGTTCTCTCTCATCAATGTTTTTATCACTCTCTCCCTCTCCCTTTCTCTCTCTCTAAATCAATAAAGAAAACAAAACAAAACATTTTTGTGTGAAAGGAAGAAAATACAATACCATGTATCCTGCTAGAAATCCCCACTTTGAAATTGTCTTTAATTGTTCTGTTTTTTCCGGCTATGAATTATGAAACATATACAATTTTACAAAACTTAGACAATCAAGATCTTAAGCAAGGAAAACAAAATCGCCACAAATCCTCCCACCCATAGATAAACACCATTCACTGTTATATAAAACAATATTTAACATCCAGTACCTTAGCAGAACCTCCTTCTAGGTCACCTGGGTCTATATCCAAATCCTCAGGAGACTCAGAATCCAGCAGACCCTGCATTAACCCAAAAGCTTCATTAAAATTCAAAAAGTAGAATGCCAACTAAATGTACTGTGCAAACAATTTCCAGACAAATACTAACCTAATTGAGAATGTATACAAATACGTCTGTCTGTCACCAGTAAGAGGGAAAGAATGAATGATACATTTGGTACAGTGTTCTTTCCACAAATAAAATCATATTGGACACATTATTTTGTAGCCTGCTTTTTCTCAATCAACAACATATCATGAATGTTAATTTTCTCATGACATTATTATTTTTTAAAACAGTTTTGATTGTGACAGCATTGCGTCCTATACATAAATCATAATTGATTAATTCCTATTGTTAAATATTTAGGTTCCACAGTTTTTCCTAAAGATAAATTCCTAGAAGTGGAATTGTCAATGTTAAGAGTTTTGATGCTTATTTCCAAATTCCTTAGAGAAGGACTATATTCCCTCCAGCCACATGTAAAACCTTGTTCACCAGCTCCTCACCTATATGGAGAATTACCATTTAATTAAAAAGTTTGGCCAATTGAATTAACACAGCAATCCTACCTCACTGTTTTTTAGTTTGAATTTCTCAGATAATTAGTGAGGTAGAACTTTAAAAAAAATGTTTGCTACTAACATTTATTCTTTTGTAAACTGCCTATGTCCTTCATTCACTTTTCAATTATTAATTTCTTTTTAAAATAGCTTTATTGAGGTATACCTGCCACATAAAATTGTTAGATATTTAAAGTGTACATCATTTTGATTTGATACCTGTATATATTGTGAAAGGATCCCCTCATCTAGAGATTAACACATCTATCACCTCACAGATTTACCTTTTGTGTGTGCGAACATTTATGTCTACTTCGTTAGCCAACTTCAATTATACAAGTGTTATCAAACTTCAATAATAGGATACAGTCACCATGTTTTACATTAGATCCTCAAACCTTATTTGTCTTATAAATTTTTAATATTTACCCATCTCTCCCCATTAATTATTTCTTTAAATAGTAGCCTATTTAATTTTTTAAAAGAAGAAAAATGAATATTGTTCTTATGACATGAGTTAGTTTATACAGTAAATCAACATGACCACCTATTCTAGAATAGCCTTGTACTAAGCAAAACTTACAGTATACAAATATTGTACCATTTTGCAAATCATATTAATTAAACAAAATCCAGGCAAGAAAAATTCTCTACATTAAATTTAATCATTTCCCTGACCAATGTGGGTCAGTGGTTAGAGCGTTGTCCTGTGCACTGAAGGGTCACAGGTTTGATTCCCAGTCAGGGCACATACCCCAGTTGTTGGATCAATCCCTGGTAGGGGAATGTACATGAGGCAACTCTCTCTCTCTCTCTCTCTCTCTCTCTCTCTCCCTCTCCCTCTCCCTCTCCCTCTCCCTCTCCCTCTCCCTCTCCTTTCCTCTCTCTCTCTCTCTCTCATCAATGGAAAAAAAAATGTCCTCGGGTGAGGATTTTTTTAATCTTCACCTGAGGACATTTTTCTATTTTTACTCAGACAGAGTGGGAGGGAAAGAGAGGAAGAGAGAGAAAGAGAGAGAAACATCGACATGAAAGGAACACATCGAGTAGCTGCCTCCCGCACAACTCCAACTGGGGCCAGGGACAAACTGCAACTGAGGCACGTGCCCTTAGTGAGAACCGGACCCGGGTCTCTCTGGACCACGGGCTGACGCTCTAACTGCTGAGCCAAACCGGCCAGGGCTAAAAACAATTTTTGATAGTTTCCATCCATCGCTTAATCACTTAGCCTGTTTGTTAGAAATCATGAGCTCAATGAAAACAAGTTCCTGTTGTCTCTAAATGCATCTCTTTCTAATGTATGCTGATAATAATATATTAATATTGTTTAATTAACTTGCCTTGACTCATTAGATATTATGTACTAAAAAAAATTCTTGTCCATAAATATTAATTTGTATAATATCTCAGATAAGATAGTAAGCATTTCATAGATATCTCTTTTTTGTTTTTTATTGTTAATTTCTATGAGCTCATTATTAAGCATGCTGACCATTGGTCACATAGCTTGATAATATATTTTCCTCAATTTTTCATGTTTCTGTTTTTAATGGTATACCTGATCATTCCTTCCCCTTTCTTTTATACTTAGAAAAGCTCTCCCACACCAGGATTCTAAAATCCTTTCTACGCCATGAGGCAGTCGGTGCAACATCCATGCTCTCTCAAAGAAGCTGTAGAATGGGCTCCCTTCCTCAGGGCAGAGAAAACCAGAGTTCCCTCTCTTCACAGGCTTTGCCAGTGGTTTAAACCTGTGCTTCCGGGCACCCAGCAAGCTTCTCGGTGGGAAAAACTCACCTGCCCTGAGTAGCCTCCCATGTTTGTTCAGATCCCCAAGGAATATTTTACAGTGATTCTGTCTCTTGTTTCTTCAATAAAGCTAATAACATCTACTAAGTATTTTTAAACACATATTACCTCATTTAATGCTCTCAAAAAGCATACCAGGAAAGTATTGTTACTACCTTCATCTTACAGGTGAGGAACCTGAGGCTGAGAGCGGCTACACCACCTGCCTGAGCGCACAGCTGTCAGAGCCTGATCCACACCCAGGATGTCTGACTCCCGACTCTGCGACTCTAACCACTGCGCCCTACAGTCCTCAGCTCGCGGAACTTAGCTATCGTGTCGTCGCTTTGAAGGGAAAACCGGAGCCCTCGGTCCCTGAAGCAGCCCGGCCAAGAAGTGACGACCCCGACTTACGGGAGGACTTCATGACCGTCAGGATGGGACAGTCAGAGGCATATGAGGCCCTAAGCGAACGCTGTATCAAAACACGCTCACAGATGCCACTCACTTTGGGAAGCAGTGAGCCATCATCCTCTTTCCCACACCGAGTGACATCTCCATGTATAAAACAGCGGCACCTGTCACGGGAGTTTCCGGGGGGTCGGTGCTGAGCGAGCTCTCTCCACACATTGCTCACTGTTTCCCCATTTTACATATGAGAACACCGAGGCCTAAGAGGGCCAGCAATCCCACAGCTGGCAGCCGGAGCGGCGGTGCAGCCCAGGCTGGCACTGCCGAGGCCGAGATGAAAGGCTAACATTTTCTGAGGGCAGAGTGTTGGGCCATGAGTTTAGCCTCCATGAGCCTCAGTTTCTTCCTACTCTAGAGCCGGTCTGACACATCTGATTGCGGGATTACATAAAAAATACACATGGGGTCCTGGCCGATTTGGCTCAGCGGTTAGAGCGTCGGCCTGCGGTCCCGAGAGACCTGGGTTCGATTCCCGCTAAGGGCACGTACCTCGGTTGCAGTTTGTCCCCGGCCCTGGTTGGTCGTGCGGGTGGCAGCCACTCGATGTGTCCCTTTCACATCAATGTTTCTCTCTCTCTCTCTTCCTCTCTCTCCCTCCCACTCTATCTGAACAAAAAATGGAAAAATGTCCTCAGGAGAGGATTAAAAAAAAAAGAAAAAAAATACACACGGGAAGCTACCCAGTAAATAGCAGGGGCTCATTTTTTAATGAAGAGATAGTAGCCACTGGGCAAGAGCTGCTTATAAAGGTTAATTCAAAACACAGCTTGGAGAAGTGGCCCAAACCTTTCCCTCAGCTCACACGTGGGGAGGCAGCCTGGCAGAGCCTCGGTCCTGTTGGGGTGTCTGGGAGTGCTCTCCTGCAGGTGTGCTGTGTCACAGAGAGAACCACCAGGGGTGCTGCAGGGCACAATGCATTCTGTTAGAATGCTCTTGAGAAAGATGCTAAATCTAAGGGTGGAGGCAGATGTTGCAAAAAAAAAAAAAAAAGACTCCAGTTCTGCCTTCTCCTTTCCATTGTCTTAGTGCACGTAAAACAGTGACTTTGGGGAAAACCATGCCTCTTTCCTGAAGCTCCTTGCCTCGTCTGTGACATGGAGCAGGTGATATCTTACCTGGAGACAGCTTACAAGAGAGTGGAGGCTGGCTGCCTCCCATCCTCTCAGCTGCTGGGGGTGCAGCTGCAGGCCCTTCCTCACTTGGCTCCCAAGGACCTCTCCTCTCTTAGCCAGGCTCCTTAGAGATTCATGCCTTGGCTGCATGTTGGACTAGGCTTTCAGGTCCCTTTCAATTCTGTGACTCCTTGGCCTTAGGCCTCCTTGAGGAGGGCCGATTTAGACTTAGAGGACAGAAAAAGCTCAAAGGATGGCTGTTTTCACCTTTGGAAGACAAAGTCACAACTTCACATGTGTAGAGGAAAGAGCACCATAGTGCATTCATCTGTCCTCCCAACAGAGAAAAGCACTGTCTTACTGACTTTACCTTCAACAACATCTGGTATTTTGTAAGTCTCTGGCTTGGTTCTCTAAGATACTTAAAAAGGGGGAGCTTGTGATCCAACTGGCGCTGGCATACCTTTAAAAAACAAACAGAAACCACATCAAACAAAACAAACAACACACACAGAGAACAAAAGTGGCGGCATTCAAATCCAAGAAACGCAACGGGCTCTTGGTGGACAAGCGGAGCAGCTGTGCGCAGTCCTGCACTGCTACCGAGCTGTGCCTCCAGGAGCAGCGTGCGAAATGAAAGGGGGAAGGGGACAACTTGGCTGGTATTTTTATAGGCAACTGGGGAAGCAGAGCCATTTATTTCTTTTAGAAAGCTAGCCCAGTAGGAGACAGTGGGGGCATTGCAGGTCCTTCTGTAAAGGAAGCGGCCTGTCAGAGTTTGGGTGTGGTTGGGTCTATTTAGATCCTGTTGAATCTGGAGGGTACATTGTGATGGCTTATTGATATCCTTCCAGGGAGCCCCAATGTCTAATCTTTTGGACTTAATTCCAGGTTTAAAACCCGTCTCAGAAGAGCATTCTGTTTTTTGCCCCAGGCCACAGCTGCTCCGCACAGGCCTGTCCCACACAGACCCAGGACAGCATCGAAACTTCCAACGTGCAATTTCAAATAGGAGAAACTTTTAACCAACATGAATCCCAGTGCTAAGCTCCTCTGCTTCATTCACACTTTTGATATCTTTAAACATCTGATGCACATAAAACTATCCAGGGGAAACAATTTGGGGGAGACCTTATAATCTCAATGTTACCCCAAAGTAGGCGCAGTCTTGACATTCTTGCCAGATTGCCTTAGCTCGGGGCAGATTCTTATGGTATTTAAAATATATCTGAAGATCTTCTTTCTGAGTGGGAAAAAATTTGAACAAATTAATCAGGTAGTATTTTTCTATAAGTGATAGGATAATACAGTTTATTCAATCATTCAACAAGCCCGGGTTTTTTTAATGTGTGAGAAACTCGGGGTACACAATCGGTGGCCTTATGTTGGAGTGAGTGTGTGATGGGGAGGGAAAAGGGGCTCCCAACAACCATAAGTACTAAATACGTATCTGAACAGAGTGCTGTGGTGCAATTACAGGATTCCGGTAAATGAAGAAGTAAATTCACGAACAGGAGTCGGTTTTGATCTATATCATTCCTCCTCTGTCTTTATTCAGAACACCAGTGTCTCCCCACTATAGCCCCCCCCCAAATATTTGTTTACTGAGTGATAAAACGAACATCCTCTCCTTGTTATCATTATCATGATACCAATTCTAGGAAAACACCCCAGCAGAAAAATGTGGCAGTTTGGACAAAACCACAGTGCTCTGAATCACGGGGGCAAGCCCCGAAGTGGCAAGCTCTGCCTGAGACATCACCTTCAACCTGCAGCACAAGATGCCGACAAGGAAAAGGTACGGGCTATCTCAGAGCTAGAGATCACCAGCGATTCCAAGGGCTTGTGCTGCCTCGAGACAGACAGGGGACACGCATCTGCCGACATCCCAGGTGGAAAGGATACCCCACGCTGCAGCTTCGTCCGCTGCACCAGGGCAACCTGGTCCGTGCCACAGGGTCCATGCTGCTCGGACAGAGAAGCCCACCTAGTCACTGCCTTTCAAATCTCTGTTCCTCAGATCCCTATGTTCCTCCTAAAGGCCATTTCTTGATGTCTTTTATGTGGGCATGGGCTCTTTTGCCCTCGCAGCATCAACTCTGACTGTTCAACTTCTAAACACACTGCTGTGGTGAATGAGTTCCAGTTCTGTATCTCTCCCCCTCTCCTGATAGATTATAAGTGGTCCCTGCACTTCAAGAACTATAGCAACTCTGTCTTTTGTACTCTCTCCAGAAAACATTGCACGTGCACACGCGCACACACACCCACACCCACCAACACACACACACACTTAGAGAGGTGGCCCTTGAGAAATGTTGTTCAGATTGGTTAAGGAACTAGAATAATAATTCCAAGTTAACAGTAACACCTTCGTTATATACTCACTCAAAATCCATGGAGTGCTTCGGACGTGCTGTCGAAATCTAAGTACGTTTGTTAAACTCCATGGCTCCCAAAGCATAGTAGCCTAGACATGGGAAACATTTCTGCCATCCTGAAGGCCAGGCTTATAAAACATTACAAATTGATTAAGGCATCTCACCCACACAGTCTGCCAGAGCACAACGACTGTGGCCTTCAGCTCCTAAAAGAATTCGAGCTTTCACTGCGTTCAGCACGCACCACCAAAAGACCCTCAGCAGCTGAAGGAGACTTTGGAGATCCAGCTTCCCACCCAGGGAAACATCCTCAACTGCCAGCCACCTTTCCCCAGACTCTCCCAGTAACAGAGACAGACCTGGTCCTCTCGGAGGATGCTAGGCTGAAACCTGCGTTCCTGAAACCTTCGCTCCTTGGCTGTGTGTCTGCACTTTGACCAACAAAGTATTATAGGCCTTAATACAACTACTGAAATACAGCTATTGACCTCAATTTGCTCTTCAGTCCAAAGTTCCTGAGAGAAAGGATGTGCACGAATCAGCAGCACATGAAAGTGCCCGGTTTCTCTCACCTCCTTATAGAATAACTCAGGAGGCTAAAAAAAATTGCTACCAAAAACTCATGTTCACGCAGAGAGAGATGACTGCTTGTGGATTAAGACTGTGGGCTCTGGACCTGGCCGGTTTGGCTCAGTGGTTAGAGTGTCGGCCTGCGGTCCGGAGAGACTCTGGTTCGGTTCCCGCTAAGGGCACGTTCCTCGGTTGTAGTTTGTCCCCGGCCCTGGTTGGGTCGTGCGGGTGGCAACCGCTCGATGTCTCCTTTTCACGTCAATGTTTCTCTCTCTCTCTCTCTCTCCCTCCCACTCTATCTGAACAAAATATCAAAAAATGTCCTCGGGTGAGGACTAAAAAAAAAAAAAGACTGTGGGCTCTGGTGGTGGATGGTCCAGGTTCAGTTCTTGGCCTTGCCGATTTATAAACTGTATGGCCTGAGGTCAGTTATTTAACTTTCCCATACCTCAGTTTCCTTTTTCTCATCTGTTGAGTGGGCTCACAACAGCAGTCAACTCCTGTGGTTGTTGTGAGATTAAATGAGATGATGTGTAGAAACCTCTCCCGATACATGCAGAGTACCCAACAAAGAGTAGATACTGTCACAGCACTTTTTACTTTGTAGAGCCTTTCTGCAAGCATTATTCTATTTGATTCCCACAACAACTTCACATGTCGGCATTATTAAGCCTGTTGTACGGAGAAGGAAAGTGAGACTCCAAGGGTCTCACTTGAGTCATGCAGACAGCAGCTGGACCTGGACAAGAAGTTCTGTTTTCTGAGTCCCATCCCAGTGCACTTTCCATTGAGCAAATGAAACTCAAAGTAAACCACTGACAAATATTCTACACAGACCTTTGCCTCTGGGGCAAGATCTCCCTGGGTGCTATCAAGTCTGACTACAATACTTGGCCAGAGCAATATTTCAAAATTCATATCTATGATTAGTGGAATTCTGCCAATACTACTAAGAAAAAGTCAAATAAAGGATAGGCCCGCCTTCTTGGCCAGCAAATACAAACCCTTGCACAGCAGCCGCCAATTAATTCCCTGAAGGATTCTCAAAGATTAAATAATTTCGCTTTTAAGATAAGAATTTATTACCTGTATTTTTTCTCCAACATCATAAATCATATCGAATTATGTGCAGAATTTGTAGTCTGGGTTAATGATTTCTAAGGTGTCTCCCAACACAGGGAACTAGAAAAAGCTTTGTATAACTGTAGAAGACAAACTCTTCTATGAAAAGATGCTTAGCTGGCTAATTCCTTGACCATTAGACAATTTCTTTTTTTTAAATCCTCACCAGAGGACATTCTTACATTTATCTTGAGATAGAGCAGGAGGGAGAGAGGGAGGAAAAGAGAGAGACATCAATGTGAGAGAGACACATCGGCTGGTCACCACCCACACGACCCCAACCAAGGCCAGGGACAAATCGCAACTGAGGTCCGTGCCCTTAGCAGGAACCGAATCTGGGGCTCTCTGGTCCGAAGGTCGATGCTCCAACCGCTGAGCCAAACTTGGCCAAGGTAGACAATTTTTATTTGATTACATCTATTCTTCCTCCACAGGAATTTGGTCCTCTGCGCATTCAAAAATGTAAATGTCTTTGCAATAGTAACATGAGCATTTATAAAATATTTCTAAACTCTGAAACTAGATTTCACATCGGTGGTTTGATGAGCGCAAAATGGCAAAATAATATAAATCACTAATAATGCTGTAAAAATAAGGAAATTAATCAGATTGAATACAAACTAGTTGTTAGTGTGCTACCTTGAATTCCAACACTTGATGGAAAACCTCCGATGGGGCTGCTGGGAAAGCAATGGGAGGGGACTGCTAAGTTCTCAGCAGCTCTGAGGGTTGAAAGCTCTGCTTTTTCACTGTCAAATACCTTGAAACTTAGGGATTTTTGTTTGCTTGCTTACAGTTTATCAAAAGTATTGCTCTTACACTTATCAGCCATAATTTGGGTTGTTTAAAAATTTGGAAGTTGGCCCCAGATGGTTTGCTCAGTGGTTAGAGCATCGGCCTGCGGTCTGGAGAGACCCGGGTTCGGTTCCCGCTAAGGGCGCGTACCTCGGTTGCAGTTTGTCCCCAGCCCTGGTTGGGTCGTGCAGGTGGCAACCACTTGATGTGTCCCTTTCACGTCGATGTTTCTCTCTCTCTCTCTCTCTCTCTCTCTCTCTCCTCTCTCTCTCTCTCCCTCCCTCCCTCCCTCCCACTCTATCTGAACAAACTATGGAAAAATGTCCTCGGGTGAGGATAAAAAAATAAATTAAAAAAAAAAAAAATTGGAAGTTGTTTGACCTGTTGTCTCAGGCTACCAAAAAAAAAAAAAACCAAAGAAGAGAATTAAAAGAAGGGCAAGCTGGGAAAGAGAGAAGACATGGAAGAGATTTAGAAAGTAGAGGGCACCAGGATCATCCGCACAGTTCTGCAGGGAGGAGAGCACTTGGGGAATGGTGTTGAGTCAAACATTTCCCTGTGCCAATGCCCAGGGAGCACCACCGGTCCAAACAGCCTATCCATTGCCCAAAGCAGGGGTGGAGAAGTATGAAAGGGAGGAGGGCTGTGTGCTTGGAAGAGGAGGTAGTCAGAAGTGTATTGTTGTAGGCCAGGAAATCCACAAATTGAGTGATAAACATCACACAGGCTATAGATTTAACATGCTGTAAAAAATAAAATGGAAGTCAATACATTTTCAGTTTAACATCAGTACTACTTCTCTTGAGAGTATTCATAGTAGTGAGGAATGTAAGTGCGATTCTGGTCCTGTAAGAGTTAGGTTAGTCTTTCAGAGTCATTCAGGATCACCTGCTTTGGGGAGCCTGGGGGGGGGGGGGTGGTCTTTCATTACAACGGGCTTTGCGGGAAGTCAGGCTTCTAAGTGCCCCACCGATCAGTGTGAGCTCAGTCAAACTGCATCCATCTCACCCTTTGAGCAGTCCTGCAAGGGACTCCCATTTGGCATTCAAAAGGCAGATAGAACCCTGGCCGGTTTGGCTCAGCGGTTGGAGAGTTGGTGCACAGACCAAACAGTTGCGGGTTTGATGGGTTTGATTTCAGTCAACCGTTGCGGTTTGTCCCTGGCCCTGCTCTGGGTCCTGTGGGAGGCAACCAGCCGATGTGTCTCTCTTACGTCAATGCTTCTCTCTCTCCCTTTCCCACTCTATCTGAAGATAAAAGGAAAAAATATCCTTGGGTGAGGGTTAAAAAAAAAAAGGCAGATAGATGTGTTTTTAGTCCATTAGTATTTCCATTAGCCCTGGCCACTTACACAGAAAATTAGGGCTGATTTGAATCACATGGTTATTTTTTACTTTTTGGGAACACAGACTTACTTTCTGGAGAAAGCAACGTGGCAGAAGTTCAGGATTTTCAGTGCACTTCTCCAATTCTTTTAGAAAAGTCCTGGGGAAAGAAAAGTATAATGATTTTTACACACATTTGATTTTTTAAAAAGTAAAATCATATAAGGTTTAAGAGGTGCCTAAAAAAAATGTTGTTTTCCGGACTTTATTGCTCCTGACTCATCTTCAACACACTGACTCGGAAGAAAAGAGTGTGTTCGTGACGTTCTGGGATCCCTGCGACATGCACAGCTGTCCTGCTAGTTCTCAGCACTGGCCTTGGGCAGACTGCATGCACGGATGCTTCCTGCCTCCCGATAATGAAGTTAATAACTGCTGCTGCTGCTGTTGCTTCACCGAAGGCTTACTATGACCCAGGCATACGCTAAGCACTTCACAAACAATCTCTCATTCAGTCCTCCACCAAACCTTGGCAAGACAGGATTTCATAAACCTGAGGTTCAAACAGGCTGCGTAACTTCTCCAAGGAAAGTAGCAGAAACGAGATTTCCATTTTAGTTTTGACAACAGACCAACAGACATGAGATGTGGTCAGGAAAGAACCAAGGTTCTTTTCCCTTCCATCAGTTAGATGTGAGATTTGGGGATCGTTATAGTGAGTAAACAAGCTGAGGTTTCCTCATCTGTAATGCAAGGATCGGAAGATGATTTTCAAAGTCCCTTTGTCTTCCAGTTGTCTAGAACTGAGCATGCAACACCCTGGGCTAAAAGGACAATTTGTTTGACCAGTTCGCATTTTTTAACACCTTTGCTCCCAGCATTACCTTGATAATAGGTATGTGAAGGAGTGTCTTAGTCACCTTTGTATTCCTCATGCTGAGCACAGTGCCTGACACCAGACAGGTTGATGCATAAATTGACAAATAAGCAAAAGAACACACACACAAATACAACATTGATGCCCAACAACGAGTACATATTCCACTAATGTCTTTCCCTTCTCCCCCAGGGAGCTTGTGACACTTCCCTCCTTTGCATCCCAGCCCAATCTCCGACTCTGGAATACTTGCTTAGGCCTGACAATATCTGAGCACTATCATTGCCAAATCCCATCAGTTTGATTTCCAGCCTTCTCTTACTCACCCCCCCCCTTTTTTTCCTGATAATTTGAATTATGATATACCTGTTGTGAAATTCATAAAGTTCTCTAATATTCCCAAAGAGAAAGTCCTTGTTATTCTGAAGAACGTCTGGAATCAGATGCTTCAGCCAAATATAATCCATCGGGGTGATATATCCCTGCAGAGGTGCAAACAAGGTAGGTTTTCCAGTTAGGAACACATGAGAGATGATCTAAATTAGCTACTCCAGGGAATAAAACCTTAATAAAATAATTGGGGAATATGGAGCACATGTTTCCTGAAAGCCATTTCATCAAATTCTTTTGACATTATTTTCCTCATCTGTCCATCTTCAGAAGAAGATGGTTTATTGGTAATGGTAATAAAAAGGCATTTTTTATAGGTAGAACAAATATATTTTTTAATGTTTGTTAAGCAAGTTGAAGTGTGAAAGGAAAAAACTTAACCTTCATTTTACTATTACAAATACTATCGTTTTATTATATTTCCTTCGTGACTTTTAGAAAGCATATTTTATGTGTCCATAATCAAACTACATACATAATCTGTATTCTGTTTTGCCATATACATTTTAGAGTCTGCTTGTAAATTTCTACATATATTGTTTTAAATTTAATCTTATAAGCATTTTTCAGTGTTGCTACAAATTATTCAAAATAGTTATTTTGTAACAGTTGAAAAATGTTTCATTTAGCATATATATCAAACTTAACCATTTACTTTTTTTTTTATCCTCACCTGAGTACACTTTCCCATTTTTTGCTCATATAGAGTGGGAAGGAGAGAGAGGAAGAGAAAGAGAGAGAGAAACATCAATGTGAAAGGGACACATCGAGTGGCTGCCACCCGCACAACTCAACCAGGGCCGGGGACAAACTGCAACCGAGGTACGTGCCCTTAGCGAGAACCGAACTTGGGTCTCTCCGGACCACAGGCTGACACTCTAACCACTAAGCCAAACTGGCCAGGGCAACCATTTACTTTTTAATTGGATATTTGGTTTTCTGATATTTTGTGGTAAAAAAAAAATTATATTATAATTTTGTACATATAATTTATTCCTCAAGATTATGCCCTTAGGAAAATAGGGAAAACACATTTTCATTCTTAAGCAAAGAGTGCTACTTAAAACAATGAAAAACAATTCTCCCTTGTTTAATTATCAAAAATATTTTCATTATCATATGCATTGTTGGCAAGCATATGGTGAATGTAGTTGAGCATTACTAGAATCATATGAATTGGCAGAATCCTTTAGAAGCTATTTAGTTGCATGGATCAATAGTCATAAGAATGTGCTTATTCCTACTGGAAAGACACATGATATTATAAGACCTGAAACCTTGGGGGGAATTCTAGAGACACATGGCAACTATTTTGATTCTCTTTGTGCAACAAAATTTCTTCAGTTTGAATATATGTTTAACACCCCTCCCCCATCTACTTACATCAATTATGCTCTTCATTTCTTTTATATAAGCCTCTTCAGTCTCAAGCAAGTCACGTAGAAGGCACCTGAATCACACAGCAGGTGGGAAGATGAAAGAGAGAGACAGAGGGAGGGAAGAGGGATTTTTTTAGGATTCTTTTAGGATAATGCTTATCAACAGTTCCTCTTAATGGCTCACTTAGACAGTTCATTCTGTTCTATTGAATACCCAAGGCCAACAGCTCACAAAACCATACTCTGATCACACTGACATTAGAAGAAATGGCAAGGTTAGAGGACTCAAAATCTCGGTGGGCAACCAGTGAGTGACTCGTGGGCCACAGTGCGGGGTCAAGAGGGCAGACATTAGAGTGGGAAATGCCTATTTTAGATCCTTGGTCAGGAAGGTCTGGCTGACCCCTACATTGTCTGTGTGGTTTCCAAGATTTTCTCTCTACCTTTCTGCTGTTTCATTGCTCACTTGGATCTTTGACCCCCCCCCACCCCACCCCGGGTGTACTTGTTGTGCACAGGGTTAGATAGATGATGGTCATGCTGCCTTCTTCTGGCACTCAATATTTCAGGGGGATTGATTTCCTCAGTCAAATGACAAGCTCTGTCTGCTTCCACTGAGGGAAGCAGGTGGGGTGTGAGGTGGGCACAATGCTCAGGTGGCCTGCAAGATTCCTGGCCCCTCCTGTCCACCTGCGTCCTCCAAGCTAGTTAACCAAACACTAACTTAGGTGCTGCTGTGAAGGGATTTTGCCATTCTGATTTGTTCCAAATCAGTTGACCTTAAGGTAGGTAGATTACCCGGGTTGACCTATCCTAATCACATGAAATCTTTAGATCTGGGTCTAGAAATCAGAGTGATTGGAAGCATGAGAAGGATTTGATGTAAGGAAGATTCTCCTTTGCTGGCGTTGGAGGGGGACATGGGGCCAGGAGCCCCTGGAAGCTGAGCGTGGCCTCCAGCTGATTGATAGCCAGCCATGAAACAGTGACTTTGGTTCTGCGGTTTCAAAAAACTGAGTTCTGCCACGTGAATTTAGGATTGTGAGCGCAGCCAGGCAACACCTTGATTTTAGTCTGTGGGACCTGCGCAAAAAGCCAGTCATGCTGTGCCCAGACTCCTGTCCCAGGGAAATTGTGAGCTGAGCTGCTAAGTTTTTGATCATTTTTTATGCAGCGATAGAAAACTAATAGAGTAAGGCTAGAGTCCCACATGTATCTCTAAACAGACTGTTCCCAGGCTGTGTGTCCACACTTTCCTTTTCAGGCTTTCTTTCAGGCCTCCGAGTGAGTGAGTGTTTGTACAAGTGTTCATGGGTAGTGTGTATACATTTATGGTTTCCTGTGAACTGTCAGTGGTTATGTATTAAACAGTAACCTAGTGAATAGTTTCTTCTCTTTCATAAAAGGGACATGGCAAGAGACAAATAATCAAAGAACACAATACAGAAATTCACACAAATATACAAATATCTAAGTATATTATGTAAAAAAAAAAAAAAAAACACACACACACACACACACAAAACCTTCAACACACTAACCCAACAAAGACGAAGTAAAAAGAAGTAACAATTGCCCTGGCCAGTTTGGCTCAGCGGTTAGAGCGTCGGCCTGCGGTCCAGAGAGACCCGGGTTCGGTTCCCGCTAAGGGCACGTACTTCGGTTGCAGTTTGTCCCTGGCCCTGGTTGGTCGTGCGGGTGGCAGCCACTCGATGTGTCCCTTCACATCGATGTTTCTCTCTCTCTCTCTCTCCCTTCCTCTCTCTCCCTCCCACTCTATCTGTACAAAAAATGGAAAAATATCCTTGGGTGAGGATAAAGAAGTAACAATTTTCAACTACTAACATGGCAGAAATTTCAAATCTTAAAAAAAGACCGATAGACGAGAATGGGGAAACACTCTTTGGTGGAAGTGTAAATTGGTGCACAATAATGTAGAAATAGCTCATCAAATTTAAAACACAAACTCCTCCACTCAGTAATTCCACTTCTAAGACTGTACATTGTCTGTTAGTAGAACAATGGCACTTCAACAACTACCAGATATATACCACAAATTACTTACATGCTCACCAATTAATTATGGTACATACATATGATGAAATGCCATACAGTTTTTAAAAAGAATAAAGCCAAGCCCTGGGCGGTTTCTCAGTGGTTAGACCATTGGCCCACAAACCAGAGTTGAGGGTTCGATTCCGGTCAAGGGCATGTACCTTGGTTGTGGTTTGGTCCCCGCCCCTGGTTGGGGTTGTATGGGAGGCAGCAAATCGATGTGCCTCTCTCACATTAATAATTTGCTCTCTCTCTCTCTCTCTCTCTCTCTTTCCCTCACACTCTGTCTAAAGATAAATGAAAATCTATCCTTAGGTGAGGATTAAAAATACTAATAAAATAAAAAAAAAAATAAAAAGATTTGAAGCTGATTGAATCATGTTGTTTATGACAAAGTCATTTAAAATCAATAAAAAAACCAAGATGCAGAAAAGTATGCATAGTGTGACAATCTGTATAATAAAAATGACTGTACACATACATATATGTAAAACTGTATATGCTTAGAAAACTCATACAAAGAGACTTAAGACATTGTCAACAGTGATTCTTTTTGGAGAGTGGTACTGAAAGCTAGGAAACAGGGAAGGAAAATTTCTACATTTTGCTCTATACTCTTTGAAAAAATTTGATTAAAAACTTTAAACATTTACTACTTTTATAATTTAAGAAGTGGCTTACACGACACTTTAAAATGAATGTTACTGGAGGTAATGACATGTAACCCCCTTTAGAAAGCTATAAATAGCCCTGGTTGGTTTTACTCAGTGGTTAGAGCGTCAGCCTGGGGACCAGAGAGACCCGGGTTCGGTTCCCGCTAAGGGCACGTACCTTGCAGTTTGTCCCCGGCCCTGGTTGGTCGTGCGGGTGGCAGCCACTCGATGTGTCCCTTTCACGTTGATGTTTCTCTCCCTCTCTCCCTCCCACTCTATCTGAACAAAAAAATGGAAAAATGTCCTCGGGTGAGGATAAAAAAAAAAAGAAAGCTATAAATAAATTGTACAATTTACATATTGTATAGCTCAACAATTATTCTTTTTTAAAATGACAATCCTTGTATCTACTTATAAAAGCTTGTTAGGAAAACAACCGAAAAATGGCGGCGGAGTGAACGGAGCTACACAGACCGTCTCCCAGAACCAAACTGGAATTACAACTATAACACAGACAAATCGACGGGAAAAACCAACAGAAAAGCAGCTTGCGAGGACCATACAACGAGGGACACTGACTCCATCCCGGTAGGCTTGCGAAGGCGCGAGACGGGGGCTGGGAGCCCACGGTCGGCAGCTCGGCAGCGGCCTTAGCTGGGAGCGGCGCCCTCGGGTCACACTCCCAGGCGGCTCCACAGCGCAGCCGGGACAGAGGCTGAAACAGCCACAGCCACTCACCTTGGGCTCCGGCGGAGGGAGGGCGGACTGGACTGGAGCTGTGTCGGGACACTCGGGATCTGGAGGACGCTCAGAGCTTTGGCTGAGTGCAGCCACCCAGGACGGTGGCCACATTGCTCCTTCCCAGGGCTCTGAGGAGAGGCAGCAGCCCCTCCCTCGGAGATCCAACCCCACCCTGTGGGCCACTGAAGTGCTAATTGAGGCTCACTAACAACCAGCATCTGCCTCCTGAAAGCCCCTTGGCTGAGCACCAGAGGGAGTTTTTCAATCAACTGACAACCCAAAACTCATCAATTAACCTAGATTGCTAGCCTCCAGGCAAAAAGCTAGAGGATAACAGTACTTTCCTGGGCTGGCAACTTTAACCAGGAAGGTAAGACTTGACAGTGGTGTTCAACATGGGTCCTCCCTCGCTCATCTAAACACTGGAGAGGGAGCCACAAACAGCAGAACACCAACACCCACAGGGAGAACTTGACAGGCTCCAAAGCCCACAGTGATAGCCAAAATGGTGAAACACAGAAACAGAAGCCAAATGAAAGAGCAAGAGACTTCCACCGAACATGAGATCAATGTGGAGCAATTAGGCATGTTAACAGAGCTAGAATTCAGAGCCATGATCTTGAGGAAGCTGAACAGCATGAGTAAGGACATAGAGACACTGAAAATAAGCCAATTGGAAATTAAAAACCAACAAGAAGAGATAAAAAATGACATATCTGAAATGAAAAACACATTGGAAGGTTTAAAAAGCAGAGTAGGGGAAGCTGAGGACCGGATCAGTGAATTAGAAGACAGGGTAGAAAAAATCAACCAATCAGAAAAACAAAAGGAAAAAACTATTAAAAAACAGGAAGACAGCTTAAGGGAACTATGGGACAACTGGAAACATAATAATATTCGCATCATAGGAGTCCCCGAAGAAGAAGAAAATGAGCAAGGGATAGAGAATATATTCAAAAAAATAGTGAGAGAAAACTTCCCTAATTGGTGAAGGAAGAAGGCATTCAAGTTCAAGAAGCACAGAGAGTCCCAAGTAAGAAGAACCCAAACAGGCCCACACCAAGACACATAGTCATTAAAATGCCACAAATTAAAGACAAAGAGAGAATCCTAAAAGCAGCAAGAGATAAGCAACAGGTTACCTACAAAGGGAACCCCATAAGGCTCTCAGCTGACTTCTCACAAGAAACACTACAGGCCAGAAGAGAATGGCATGAAGTAATCAAAGTCATGAAAAACAAGAATCTGAATCCAAGACTACTCTACCCAGCAAGGCTATCATTCAAAATAGAAGATCAAATAAAGAGCTTCCCAGACAAAAAAAGGCTAAGGGAATTCATTAGCACCAAACCAGCACTGCAAGAAATGTTAAAAGGACTGCTGTAATTAGCAGTAGAAATGGGAAGAAAAATAGAACCACACTAAACAAAAATGGCAATAAATAAGTACACATCAATAATCACCTTAAACGTAAATGGATTGAATGCTCCCATAAAGAGACACAGAGTAGCTGATTGGATAAGAAAGCATGACTCATCTATATGTTGTTTACAAGAGACCCACCTCTCAACAAAAGACTCACATAGGTTGAAAGTGAAGGGATGGAAAAAAATTTTCCAAGC